TCCAGCAGAGAAGGCCCCGCCCCCACCGCCTGGGCAGCAGGGGCAGGCACATTTTCCACTCACCCTTGGCCCTAACTATTAATAGTGCACTCTCCCTGCAGGAGCCGCTATAAATAGCCCCCAGCCCCTTACACAGGCCCATTCAGGCGCCCGCCGCTGGGATGCATACAATCACCCACACACACTGCACACTGCGGCTCAGAATCGTCCACTGGGCACCTTGCCCGCTCTTGGCTCCTCCAGAGCCAGGCACATGGAGAGGGCAACCCCCACCTCATCTGGCTTCCAGAAAGACCAGACTCTATCCCTGCACCCCTTCAGGGTCCACCCACCGCCGGGCCAGGGAGCTTGTCCTCATTTCTGTAACAGGGCCTGGAGCTAGTCTGGCTTCTTTTTGCCCCCCAGTTTTCTCCATCAGGGACTTTGGCATAGTGGGGTACTCTCTGACCCTCTAGCTCTTCATCTGTGAAGCAACTGGCAGCTGGCCCGAAGGGAAACCTGCCTGAAGGGAGGGCCTAGATCTGCTGCCCCTTTCCAGGGGACTACCCACTACTAAGTCAGGCTATGAGGGTCACTGAGTCCCAACTCCTAAGGGGCATAGGCTCAGCCATTTCAGTTCACCCCAAAGCTGGTCCGCTCTCCACATGCTCTGTAGAGTGGGTACCTCTGAATTCCTGTTCCTTGTGTCCTCCTCAGGTCTCACCATGGCAGGCAAGCTGTGAACTCTTGCCCAATTCCCTGGTAAAGGATGGCTGTTTGGGCTAGGAGTGCTAGACCTCTCCTCTCCGACTGCCTAGGCCTGGTGGCTGGTGGTGACAGGCGTCAGGGTGGGGGTACTTGGGGGATGCTGGTATTGTGTAGAGAGGAAAAAGAAGAAAACAACCCTGTTTACGGAAAAGTTACCTCCGGCCAGTGGCCTTCCTGGGGGGGACAGAGGTCCTTTGTTGGGAAAACAGGAAGCCAGGATTTCCAGGACCTGCCAGGCCACCCGCAGGCCACTTGCCCCAGCTTCCGCCAATTCTCATAGCTTCTGCCAGTCATCAGCTGCTCCTCTTGTCCGTCCTTGTTTGGTCCATCCCTCTGGCTGGTACTCAGGCCTCCAGCTTTCAGGCAAAGCTGTCTGCCAAAGCTTGCAGTGTGGAGACCCGGACTCTCCTTCAGAGGGGCGGATACCTCACAGAACTCCGCTGTCACCTTCTACCCAGCTGTGAACCTGACAGGCACAGCCAGCCTCTTGATGCCATTAT